GAGTTACAGTAGTCCAGCCTGGAAGTAACAAATGCATGGACCAGTTTTTCAGCATCACTTTGAGACAGGATGCTCCTGATTTTTGCAATATTGTGCAGGTGAAAGAAGGCAGTTCTAGAGACTTGGTTTATGTGTGATTTAAAGGACATATCCTGATCAAAGATGACTCCAAGGTTCCTCACAGTAGTAGTGGAGGCGAGAGCTATGTCATCTAAAGTAACTATATGATTAGCAGATTTCTGACATTTTCAGGCCCAAGCACAATGACTTCATTTTTGTCAGAGTTTAGAAGTAAGAAGTTACGGGTCATCCAGGCCCTTATGTCTTTAAGACATGCTTGAAGTTTGACTAGCTGATCTGATTCATTTGGCTTCATAGACAAATATAACTGAGTATCATCTGCATAGCAATGGAAATTTATGCTGTGTTTCCTGATAATATTGCCTAAAGGGAGCATGTATAAAGTGAAGAGAATTGGACCTAACACAGAGCCCTGTGGAACACCATGACTAACTTCAGTTTGTGTGGGAGATTCATCATTAACATGAACAAATTGAAATCTTTCTGGTAAATGAGATTTGAACCAACTTAGTGCAGTTCCCTTAATCCCAATAACATGTTCAAATCTCTGCAGCAAGATGCTGTGATCAATGGTGTCAAAAGCAGCACTGAGATCTAAGAGGACAAGTATGGAGACAAGTCCTTTTTATTTTTAATAAATTTGCAAAGATTTTAAACTTTTTTCACATTGTCATTATGGGGTATTGTTTGTAGAATTTTGAGGACAAAGAATTTACTCCATTTTTGAAAAAGGCTGTAATGTGGAAAAAGGTAAGCACTGTGAATACTTTCTGGGTGCACTGTATATTTATATATATTTTTTTATTTAACAAATATTTAAATATTTGAAAATCATTGTCCAGCTCTACTACCATTATAGTAAGACTGATTGCAGACAATAATGAGTCAGCCAACAGGGTGGAGGTTCAGCATCTGACAGAATGGTATTTTCACTATAAGCTAGACTTAAACACTTCAAAAACCAAGCAAACGATAGTGGACTTTAGAAAATCAAAGTGCACTGGACACACTGCCCTTGGCATACATGGGAAGGAGGTAGAATGGGTAGAGAGCTTTAAGTTCCTTGGTCACATCTCAGTTGACCTCAGCTCGACCACACACATCTCCCATCAGGTGGGAGAGGCCCAACAGAGGTTGTATTTCCTCAGAAAGCAAAAGTGCACTTACCTGGCTCATCACATGCTGACCAGCTTGTACTGGTCAGCATTAGAGAGCCTCTTGACCTACTGTTCACTAACTGCACAGAAGAGAACAGAAAAGATCTGCAGCAGGTGGTAAGGCCATCAGAGCGTGTCATTGGAACATCATTACTCCCCTCTTAGAGATACAGTGGGTACGGAAAGTATTCAG